CCAGTTCCACGACAAGCTGGACGACCCGGTCACCGCAGTCATGTCCACGGACCTCGTAACCGCCCGCCACGGTGTTGAGCTCAAGGAGGCCAACGATATCCTGAACAAGTCCAAGAAGGGAAAGCTTCCCATCGTGGATGAGAGTTTCAACCTGATTGCGCTCCTGTCTCGCTCCGACTTGATGAAGAACCTCAACTTCCCGCTTGCGTCCAAGCTCCCACACTCCAAGCAGCTGATCGCCGCGGCTGCCATCGGCACCCGACCTGAGGACAAGATTCGTCTGCAGAAGCTCGTCGATGCCGGTCTCGACATCGTCATCCTCGACAGCAGTCAGGGAAACAGCATGTACCAGATCGAGATGATCAAGTACATCAAGGAGAAGTACTCTCAGCTCGACGTGATTGGCGGAAACGTCGTCACTCGCGAGCAGGCTGCTGGTCTCATCGCCGCTGGTGTAGACGGTCTCCGTATCGGCATGGGTAGCGGAAGTGCTTGCATTACACAAGAAGTCATGGCTGTCGGAAGACCACAGGCCACTTCGGTGTACAATGTCACCTCTTTCGCATCGCGCTTCGGCGTGCCTTGCATTGCGGATGGTGGTATCCAGAACGTAGGACACATCGTCAAGGGTCTTGCCATGGGTGCATCAGCCGTCATGATGGGAGGTCTCCTCGCCGGTACCACTGAGTCTCCTGGTGAGTACTTTGTCAGCCGCGATGGTCAGCTCGTCAAGGCCTACCGTGGCATGGGCAGTATCGCCGCCATGGAGGACAAGAAGGCCGGTGCTGGCGCTGCCGACTCCAAAGCCAGCAACGCTGGTACCGCGCGCTACTTCTCTGAGGGTGACCGTGTTTTGGTTGCCCAAGGTGTGTCTGGATCCGTCCAGGACCGTGGCTCGATCACCAAGTTCGTGCCCTACCTCATGGCTGGTGTTCAGCACTCGCTGCAGGACATTGGTATCAAGAGTCTTACCGAGCTTCACGAGGGTGTTGCCAACGGCACCGTCAGGTTCGAGTTGCGCACTGCTAGCGCACAGGCTGAGGGTAACGTGCACGGTCTGCACAGCTTCGACAAGAAGCTCTATTCATAGACGATTGAAGATGATATACGGAATGCATTGGGAGGGCGTTAGTGGGTGGTTGGCTGGGTTGCTAGGTTCCCTCATTAGACATGCGACACGAAGACGATTTATGTTCTTATTTTGGAGCAATGGATAGGCCAAAAGCAATGATACCACGAACTATGTTCATTTACGATCAAACCCAAGAAAATGTCTTCTGTTGGGTGACGCGAAGCGCTGCCGAACTTCTGGCGTGTCGACTCTTGGGCACCCTGTCACTGCTCAAGCTACTTCCTAACCTCGGCACCTCCCCGCGCGTCAACACCAACCACATGCAAGCCACCATGACGCGCCGACCGCCATTGTCGGCTCCTTTCGTGGTCGGATATGCCAAAGCTGAGTTCCACTGCTCTTCTCCTGGCTAAAGGTAGATCGACTGCATTACGCCCCTATTGCTCTCCACATCCCGTCGCCGCAAGCTCATCGTACTCCACATTGCAGGCGAAGCTCGGTGCGCGATCGTCAGCGTCACTACGAACTGCGTCTTATCTAAAGCCTGCTCAGCTCTCAAGGACCGGCTTTCAAAAGCGCAACATGTCTTCGCCCGCAGACCACAAGCCGTCGAAGCAGGCGGCAAAGGCACCACAGGTCCCACGGCCTAGCTCGAGGTATGCGATTATCACGATGTCTATCGATGTCGAAATGCTAACACGTATAGCGTCTTGCTCATTTCCCCTACGAACCAGGTCCTGCTCCTCCACCGCGTATCGAAAGCCTCTAGTTTCGCATCTGCCCATGTCTTCCCCGGCGGCGCCCTTTCCAAAACCCACGACGGCGAGATCCCCGACGAAGACCACCCAGGAAGACATCAAGATGGGCCCGCGTATCGTATGGCAGCCGTACGGGAGACTTTCGAGGAATGCGGCATCTTACTCGCCAAGAGCAAAAAGACCGGGAAGCTGTTCACCGAGATAAGCGACGAAGAACGAGAACAAGGCCGAAGAGACGTACACGGTGGAAAGGTCAAGTTTGGAGACTTGTTGGAGAAGTGGGGTGCACTTCCTGATACCGAAGCTCTGATTCCGTTCACCCGCTGGGTAACGCCTCCCAACGTGCCCAAACGCTTTACCACGCAAATGTACATCTATTTCCTGCCCCTTGGCTCCGTGTCGCCGACGAAGCACGCCGCGCCCAAGGGTACACCACCGTCTTCGGGACTGGAAGAGGAGGACGAGATTGTCATACCCAAACCTACACACGATGGCGGTATTGAGCACACCGCTGCCCGCTTCCTGCCACCCAACAAATGGATCGACCTGGCGCGGCAAAACAGGATTATCCTGTTCCCACCACAGTTCTTGCTTACCCTGCTGCTGGCTCCGTACTTAGCATCAAGTGTCACATCACCCTCTTCGCCCACACCTAGTCTGGCGGAGCTACAGCTCGAGCGCGAGAAATGTCTTGACTTCCTACAAAAGCCGCGCATGTACGACGGGAAGCCTGAAGTGTCTTTTGCTGAAGCTTGCATATCTCCACTTGCTCTGGGCAAAGGAGAGTACGGGCAGGCTGGGCAGGATGGGGTTGGCGGCGTAGATAAGAACACTGCTGTCTTGGTGCTTGATCGGCCTGGGAAAGAGGTTGAAGGCCAGGGACAGGGGAGAGCGGGACTTAGGGAATGGGTTGTTACAACGAAGTTTAAGAAGGAAGGGCCACGGGATGTGGATGTTAGGAGGAGGGATGAGGTGTTGGGGAACAAGATACAGGGGAAGCTATAGAGTTGTTGGCTACAAAACGGATAGCTTGCTCGATCCTAGGTTTCGGGTCGATTCCCGGGCGTCGAGTGAGCTTAAGATTTCATCTGTGTCTTCCTCACAATTTACCTGCGAAGTTTGTTCCATGCCAGGGTATAGTACAATACGTTACGTGCGTAGAGCCGATGCAAGAGGGGTTGCCAGTCCGTGATTAATGATATCGGAGGAATCCCAGGTGCCCAGCTTCCGATCATCCCATCCGGCCAATCTCGGCTATGCACCAAAAGCGAATACCGAAAAGTCGCATCATCGACGTCGCCAACAACCTCCAGGGCTAGATCTACTCCACCCAGCACACTAAACCCCACATTCGTCATTATTAACACCAGCTCCACATATTCGCTTTCCTGATGTCGGACGACGGACGGTGGAATGTTCAGGATCATGTTGTTTGGATATAAAGATGCTTGGGAGCCCCGCCTCATTTTGGGGGGTACCTTTACCTACATAACTTAACGGCACATGATACCCGTTGTCCATCTTAATTCGTCTACGCATTTTGAAAAGAACCTGTAAAGAAAAGAGTTATCACAATGAAGGAAGCACAAGTAGCAAAAGACCTTTCGGTCACCATCAAGGATGTCGCTGTCCCCGAGCCACAAGCCAACCAGGTCGTCATCAAGGTCGTCTATTCGGGCAGTAACCCCAAAGACTGGTATGTCTACTTCCCGGTTCCCGCTACTATCCAAGTACTTGCACGATACAATGTCCACGTGACCTACCTCTCACTCCAATATCTCTCCTTTCAATCGATCCTCCGTTAACACATCCTCCAGGAAAATCCCCGCCTACGACATGAAACCCAACTTCAACACCGGTGACGACATCGCCGGCTACGTCCACAGCGTCGGTGTCAACGTCTACGAGTTCAAGCCCGGAGACCGCGTCGCCTCCTTCCACGAGATGATGACACCGGGTGGTTCCTTCGCCGAGTACGCAGTAGGCTGGGCCCACACCACCTTCCACATCCCATCTTCTGTTTCTTTCGAGCAAGCAGCGACCCTGCCCCTTGCTGCCATGACCGCAGCCATCGGACTGCACCAACGCATGGGTCTGCCCGACCCGTGGACTCCCGCACAGGAACCTACGCCCTTGGTTGTGTATGGCGGTGCGAGTGCAGTGGGCGCTTACGCGATTAAATTAGCATCGCGCGCAAACATCCACCCCATCATCGCTGTAGCAGGAAGAGGAGAGAAGTTCGTCGAGGGACTTATCGACCGTTCAAAGGGCGACACAATCGTTGATTACCGAAAGGGTGATGAAGCGGTCGTAAAGGGCATCAAAGATGCGCTCAAGGGACAGAAACTGCAGTACGCGTATGACGCTGTATCGGAACACAACTCCTACACGAACATCGTGCAGGTGTTAGAGCCCACGGGCAAGCTCACGCTTGTTCTGCCGGGTAAGAAATATGAAGGTATTCCTGAGACTGTGCAGCAGACTCAGACGATGGTGGGCTCGGCGCACAAGGAAGATGCAGATTACGCGTTCATCATGTTCAGGTATATGGCGAGGGGTTTGGCGGAGGGCTGGTTCAAGCCGCATCCGCATGAGGTTATTCCTGGTGGTCTGCAGGGAGTAGAGACGGGTATGAAGAATTTGAGGGATGGCAAGGCAAGCGGAGTCAAGTATGTCTTCAAGATTGGAGATGAGAAATAGAAGTCGTTAGGATGGAGACATGAGCAATGCAATGAAACCTAGCAGATGGTAGATGTCATCATTTTTCTCACACAGTCAACCTCTTTCTCATCCCTTCTAATATTTAATAGGCGGATTTAGTTATCGTGTATCTCGTGTGTTTTGCGTAAGTCGCCAACACAGTTAAGCATAAGAGATAATCGTAAAACGTTGAAATAATGCTAGACGTACCGCCTACATAATAGCCGGGGAGTCTCATTCTACGTGTATTACGTATGCCAGGAGTGTCTTAACTAGGATTATAGTTACAAAAGAAGTTGTATAGTAGGCTTTAAGGTATACAGGCTTATTATCCTTATTATATAGTAAGCACGTATAGACTATAACAGAATACATGGACTTGTAAGCTAATACTCTATTAGGTACAAAACTTGTTGTCGCTGCCACGCCTACTAATGTTCCTCTCTATTAGTGACTTCGACGAGGATGTATCAGACAACGTCGATCAAGGTCATCTCGACAACTGGGCTTGAATCGCTTCCAGACCATAGCTCTTTCTGCACGCCGCTCCAATCTTGCTTTATGATGTTCGACAACGAGCTTTTCACCTGCAGCGTTGCGATCTGGGCCTGGTTCTGATCCAATTGAAACTTTGCTCGGATGATGTCGCGGACTTCCGTAACAGTTGCTGTTGGCCTGATCGTCATCCGGAGTTCCAGTATGATGTTGTCGATCAGCCCGGTTTCTGTTAACCACCCCGTAAGCTCTCGTTGCTTAGGTAAAAGGGAAATCATCTTCCAAGATACAAGGACCTCCAGGTTCGGCTTGGGCGGCTCGGATGTATTTGTTGCTTGGTCTGGGGCTTTGGCGGTCTTCTTTGTGTCGTCTCGCTCCCGCATCCAATGCGGGACGTGAGCTGTACTAGAACGGACCTCCTCGTCCCACTTGGCATTTTCGAACCTTTTGCTCCATACTTTGGGGCTCAATGACCACGAAAGACACAAGATCACGCTGAACGCGCGGCTGTATGGCTCTAGGTCGCTTTCTCCGTACTTGAGGTAGGGGCCGAAGCTCTGCACGCTCACGTCCGAACGGTCAAAAGCCGATGCTTGCCTTCCTGTCAGGGCCTTGAACGCGCTGACAGCCTTCTTCTCCTGCTCTTGGTCGAATGGTCATTGCCCAGAAGCAGCCCTCTCAACCTGTCTGTATAGCTGTTCGCATGCGAGGGCGGTTCGTTGAACGGCGTGGATACTGTCGATCTGCACTGGGTATACGTCGATGGGGCTTGCCTCCGACTTCATTCTATCCTCCCGGTCACGGATATACTCTAGTACATCCCTCTGGCGCACTTGGATTGTTCCGCGGTCGGTGTAAGAATTGGTATAGGCATTCAGCACTAGGCTGGACAGGATGAACTTGCGGAACTCGTCCCAGCGGCCGAACATGGCGTAGGAGCCGACCTGGCCTTCGCCTTTGTGTAATTGTACGAAGCTTTTCGGATCCGTTCCGGAAGCGAGAATATTGTCATTGCCGTCGTTTTTGCGTTTCCGAGCAATCTTGGGCTTCTTCTTGGCGGGCTGACTAGAAGTTGGTTCCTTTGGCGTGTCGGCTTTCTTCTTGGGGGCGGCGGCGGCGGGACAGCTCGGGGCCTTTGAGGTATCAGTGGACTGAATGATAACACCGAGACTTGCTTACCTGTGATGTTGCGGGCACTGCGAGCTACGTAAGGGCGTTGGACAGCGCGGTTGATGCTCAACTTGGTGATGTTAGCGGACCCAGCGTTAGGGTCGGAGTGAAGGAGAGTGCGTCAGGTTCTGCAGAACAAACAACACGCCACCTAGACTTTACTTGCACTCGAGGAAATCAAATCAGAATGACAGTAAATAGAAAGTAGCAGGGCCGAGGAGATTGGTGTAGGTGGTGGAGTTTGGCTCTGTCGCTGTGGTCGATATCGTGCTCTATCACTAGTGAGTGGGCGAGTGGCTCTAGTAACCTTGCGAGGTTGTATTGACATGTTGATATTGCTCCTTGAAAGTAGACACTTTTCATCCACAATTGAGCATAAGAGACGATCGTAAAACGTTGAAATGATGCTAGTAACAGGAAAACTACGCAATACTCGAGACATTGATATAAGTACATCCCAATGCAATCGCAACTGAATACGCCCCAGCAACTGCCATAGGCAGGGAGATTACCCAAACACCGACCCAAGCCTTCGGTAATGCTTCTAGATGGAGTTTTCCAAGGTTTTGAGAATGAGACAGATGCACAAGAGAATGACCTGGCGCCAGAACATCGCCAAATCGAAAAGAACAGAATGCAACTAGTGAGCAACGAGAAGCGAAAAAGTCGTTAAAAGCCCCAACGGTGGCGTCTCCAACCACCTAATGCCCCAATTAGCAAGAGGTACATCAACGCCAGACGCTCTTAGAATTAGGCATGAGGCTACCTCTGGACGAAGAACCACTAGTGATCCGTACAGGCGCTCGCGCATTCAAGCTGGGTGGTGCTTCCCGAGGTCTATCTTCACCGACGTTCGCCAAGGTAGTGCGCCTTACAGCGCTCTTCATTATGGGCGTAACCCGTGGGCTGAGTACGCTGTTCTTCCAGTCAGCCTCGTGGACAGACTTGACCATGCGACGTGCTGCACCCGCGGAGAGAAGGGAGTTCTCGTTGGGCGGGCTACCAATAGTCGCTGCTGTCGGACTACGACGACGATGCGCTCGGTTCACAGGTACAGATCCTCCGTTTGTGGAAGAACGACGCTTGATTGCGTGTCCGATTTGTCGCGCGTCTGATGGTGTCCATTTCTCTCCCTCTGAACTGGAGTGGCCGCTGTCTCCTTCTGGCGCAGGGCCCGACGTGGCGTTCTCTACATTGCTTAAGGATGAAGTCCGAGGGTTGTTGTAGATCTCGCGGAGAGGCGACGCACCATCGGAATCCGAGCCATAGGCGTTGTTGGAACGAGATGTGGGGGATCCGTCTGAACGCTTAGACAACGCGCCGACTGCAAAGCGCGATGAGCCCTTCAAATCTACAGAGGCTTTTGGTGGTGTAGGGATAGGTGAAGAGCCACCGCTTCCATCGTACTTTGGTATGGGGATGCCTGTCGAGTAAGTCGGTGCTGGCACTGGGGTGGAAGAATGTGTTGGCGTTCCTGCTAGGTGTTCTGGTGTTTTCTGGAATTCCGCAAGTGTACCATTCTCGGTGTCGTCCCTCCAGCGCACCCCTCGCTTCGTCTTTGATGGAGACTTCTTCTTCTTCATCGGCGAGAACTGAACGCTCTTCCGGGCTCCTGCCATCAACTTTCGGCGTGGTGATGACTTCATTGGCGATGATGTGAGATGCGGCGCATCTGCTAGTGTTGGCAAAGCAATTGGTCGCATGGGAGAGGGCTCCATGATGTTCACTGGCTTCCTCCTTTTTGGTGTGCCTCTGTGGCTTGGCTCGAAGAACTCCGTGACTGGCAGGCCACCGTCTGGCCGAATAACCTGCGAAGTCGCATTTGTACAAGAATTCATGATCTTCGTAAGCAGCTTCCTCGCCGCTTCGACTGCTTGAGCTTCATCCATTTGGGTGATCTGGCTTAGGATTGTGACGGTCTCGATGTGCGCCTGTACCAACACCTGGACGATGGCAGCTTCGCCGCCTTTTTCCATATCCAGCAGAGCATTGAGTTGTTCGCGATCCGCGTTGGCTTTGAGGAGCTCGTACTCTCTTGTAAGGTCGGCAGCATCATGGCCGTCAGCGTTGCCGTCAACCTCCGCCAGACCCTTCAGTCCAACATGCAGCGCTGTGTCCATTTTGCTCGTCCATACGGTACGCTCCAATCGCCTATGGCAATGTTGTCGCGTTTGTTCGAGTTCTGCGGATATTCCGACTGCGGTATCTCTCATTGCTGTAACTTGAGCGGGCATCTCCTCGTTTTCGCGAACATCCTTTACGTTATCGAATGCCGCGATCCATGCCGAAATCATCGAGATGCGCTTCTCGGCCAGCTTCAAGGTCTTTGACATATTCAACCGATCCCGACGGTCGGGCTCAGAGTCTGTATAAGCCTGGCGCAAGCGTACTACAGCGTCTCGCAAGATGCCATCCTTCTTCTCGCTCTGCTTCTGGAACTTGACCAAAGCGCTTCCTTCGAAATCCTTCTGCTTCTTCATCAACTCCTCAATCAAGTGTCTCTGCTCATCAATCTTGACAAGGTAGTCTTTTACGTGGCGGTTGACATTGTATACATTCTTGGTGACCTTGGTCTGGATGTTCTTCGCTCGGTTGGCGTACCGCAGGGTGTTCTGCGTCTCATCGAAATGCGCGCTTGACGGACTAACACAGACTATCATGACAGTTTTACAGTTTCCACCGAGAGAGAATTTGAGCAATCGCGTGAGTTTCGAGTTGCGGTATGGGATGTGGTTGCGCTTTCGGGGGTCACACAGGGCGTTGATACAGCTTCCCAGCGCGAGTAGGGATTTGTTGATGTTGGCACCCTCCGTCAAACGCTCTCCACGGTTCTTCGTAGCGCTCGCGCGCTCACTACCTGCCAAGTCGATGATGCTGAGGGTAGCCATTGTGTGGGGTTCGTTGACCGAGGCATTGCGGTCCTTGGAGGAGACGTTGATTTGGAGTACGGCGTGGGATCGGGAAGAGGTAGCGTTCGCTTCGGTAGGAGACATGGTTCGGTACTCGTTGCCGCGGACAATGATATCCATGACTTCTTGAACCTGTGGTTGTTAGACGCCTGTCGTGCAGTGTATCCATCCTACTTACACTCTGTGGTCGGTGGCTGGAAAGACCAGCGACAGATACAGCCTGGTTGGCATCCTCGCGGAGCATCAGGGGTTGTTTACTGCCACCCTCTACAAGCAAGTCGCGAATTGTCTCGTTATAGATCTCCAGGTAAGAGAGCGTGATCTCGGTGACCTTTTCGTCTTGAATGTCCTGGATCTTCTCAAACAGTTCTTGCATAGTCAAAAAGATTATGCCCGGCTGCTGTGATGTTCCACTGGAGGCATGTTAGTTCTCCTGTGAGTAACTAGCGGTGTACATGAACATACGTGATGGTATGCGTCTTTCCACAACCTGTGGCACCATACGCAAAGACAGTCGCATTGTATCCATCCAGCACACTGTCCAGCAGGGGCTTCGTCGTGGCTTCGTATACATCGCCCTGGGAGGTAGTGTCGTCGAAGACGCGGTCGAATGCGAATGTCTGGTCCTTGGATCGCTTGCCCTGAGGTCCTATTGTTGATCGTCCGAACCGCTGGACGGCGTTGTCTTCTGGAGGGTCGAAGATTCTGGTACTGGTCAGCCCTCATGCCTTGAAATGATACGTGACGTCTCATACAGGCACTTCTCGTCCATGACCTTGATGACAGGCCGGATGCCCTTGTGGAGCTTCGGCGCTGGCAAGCCCGCCAGCGAACCGTCTCCGAGGAACAGCGTTTGGTCATCGTTCCTCGTGACTTGGGCTGCCTCTCTGATAGTGAAAGGGCGGACTCGTACGGTGACGGAGATGGAAGACGCGCCCGCGGCGGCCATGATTGCGCCCAAGAAATGAAAAAAGCAGGTCAATCGCACTGCGCAGCCTCCTTTGAAAGCGTGGGGAACAGCCGCGAGCGAGGGTTTGGTGTTGCGGGCTGGAGTGCTCAATGACGATGTTCCAGCCGGAACTTCTGTTATGGGACGCACGGCCGCTGGTAAACAGACAGGGATCTAAATGCGGCAACCACGACCCTGCCGCCAAGAATGCCCTCTTATCCCCACAATTTCCGACGTGGCTGCGACACCACACGCCACATCACCTCTGTCCTGCCAACGGGCGCACCCGACTGTGTGCTACCTCGAATGCGAATGTTGCAGACCGTGTGATCCCAGAATAATACTACCATCACCCTCACTCTTTGGCAAGCCTTACTCGCTCGTGTCCCTGGTCCTGAAGTGCGTAAAGGGGCAAGTGGAGCATCACAGCATGTGGAGAGTGAAATGAGAGATGCGCATCTCATAAAAGGATTCAACTATCATGCAAACATCAAACATGCGTCCGGCATATCTTCGTAAATTCCATTCCCCGACTAACACCGCCTCCACCTCAAGTCCTCAACCCGCACCACCCATGGCCCATTCACACTAATCCAGCTGATCCAATGTCTCGGCCTACATCAACCGCAATCAGTTTCTACTGCTTGGGCGGTGTGCACTTCTGCCACTGCACGTACACGACTTGGGTGAATTTGAGATCGGTAGAGTCAGTGGTGAGGAGGCCAGTGGCGCTGGCGTTGCTGCTGGTTAGGCGGACCTGCGAGTTGATGTTGAGCATGCCGTTGGTGCCGCATGGCGCCCATACGACCGAGGTGCTGTCCGCCTCGTCGTGCTTGAGGTAGTCGCCGTTTGTTGGCCCGTCGAACTTGTACTCGGTCGAGGTCTATTTCGGGTATCAGCACATTTGGTCCACGCCATTGGAGCGTGGATAGATCTTACCTGAGCAGTGTCTCCGGAGAAGTAGTAGGTAGACTTGAGAGTGCCAGAGACACCCTTCTGGATGGCAGAGTAACCACGGTAGTCGGCAGACAGGATGGAGTACTGGAAGCCTCCTGGGTACTCAATGTCGACGTTCAGCTGGCAGTTCTTGCGCTGCTCCGTAACCGCGATGCCGGGGCCGATCGAGGCGATGTACGCGTCGAAGATGAGCGTCATGACAGTCCTGTCGCTGTTGATTTGGGAGCTCATGGTGCCTTGTGGGCAACCGGTTCCTCCATAGCTGACACCGCGGATCTTGACCTGTGTTGCGTAAGTTGATCGTCTCGTAAATCTCCATCTGTGCTTTTCGTACCTGACCGGGCGGTGGAGCGTCACCAAGCTCAACATTGGGGAACGCAGGGGCTGCTGCCGCGAGGGGAAGGAGAGCAAGGAGCCACTTCATGTTGATAGTTTGGAAAGACGGTCTTCGGAGAAGGCTAGATGTAGAGCTGATGATGTGGTAGATGAAACCGAGAGTAGAAGCTGGATGAGGATCATGGAAGGGAATATGCACCAGGTTATATACCAGTCCCTCGGCGCCAGCTCTTTACCTTTGATTGTCTTGACCACTGCCGCGGCAACACCATCTTGGGCGACATCTACAAT